ATGTGATCACTGGCCGTGTCGAGCAAGGCATCGTTAAGCCTAACGAGGAGGTCGTGTTCATGCCGACTCACACGCCTTTCCACTGCTTGTACCGGCAAGGTGTTCACTGTCGAGATGCATCATACTCGTCAAGAGAAGGCCCTTTCCTGGTGATAACGTCGGTTTGAACGTCAAGGGTCTGATCAAGGATAACATGCCTCGTTCCGGTGACGTGATGATCTACAAGAAGGATACTAGTCTGAAGCATGTGCAGTCTTTCACTGCTCAGGTTCAAGTTTTGGATGTGCCTGGCGAGATCAAGGTTGGTTATTCTCCGATTGCCTTTGTTCGTACTGGTCGTTCCGCCTGTCGTCTGGCTGGAATCAAGTGGAAGGTTGGCAAGGAGACTGGTGGCAAGAAGATGGAGGATCCACATTCTCTGAAGTCCAACGAGATGGCCGAGGTCGTATTCGAACCTATCCAGCCTCTGGTTGTCGACTCCTTCAAGAACTGTGAGGGTCTATCTCGTGTTGCCCTCATGGAGGGCAATGGTGTGGTTATGCTCGGCAAGTGTGTCTCCACGGTTGCGAAAGACGTGAAGTAGATAATTATGATGATTATGGTTTATTTTAATGGGTTGGATCATATTGATCCATTTTTTGAGAAACGTGAGAATTGTGATAAGTAGGTTATCGTAAAGCAATTGCGTTTCGTTTAGGAGTTGGATTAATTCATGGGATTTTGTATCGCTCTCGTGTCATTGTAAAAGTTCAGATCTTGAATTCGAGGATGCCGAAAATATCACCGTTGGTTGTGAATTGGGCACAATCGGTTTGATTTATTCAGAATAAATCTAGCGTGGACTTGGATCATTGGTATGAGGAGGTGTGAAGTGGTTGAACGGTGAGCAGATATATAGTAGTGACAAGATCGAACGATCTGAGATAAGAACTTCATTCTAAAAGTATCCGACGAGGTTATATTAGTCCTATTTGGATGAGAATATGATCGGAGCGCGTGCACGGATCCGCATGCACAATTTCACATTTGATGATATAATCAAATGACTCCTACATTTGGCTGGTAGACACACGAAGTGAACTCGGAAGTTGCGGATAATGGATATGTGTACAGGATCTTACTCATTACTACGGACAATATCTACCACATTTCACTCGTCATTGAACACTCCTCAAAAGGTCTGATGCGAGAGCCAGCATTAAAGTGATCAGGTGACTTGATCACCAGCGAAAAATTCCCACTGATAATTATTGTATAGTACATGGTTATTTCCGTATTACTACTGAGAATACCCAACTAAGCGGAAAATTCGATCTGATTATCAGTCTCCGCTGACCTCGAGTACTCAGGCCACCGGGTTAGCATTATTTGCTAATGGCGTATGCCTACCAGATATTTTCATTATCACTTTCCATCGCAATCCCCATATAATTCGTGTGACTAATCACGCAACACAACACAATTGCTGCAAGCTGAGTCGCTGCCACGCCCAATTTCGTTGGA